CCCCAAAACCCCAAAACCCCAAAACCCCAAAACCCCATTTCAATTTTGATTTATTGAATCGACCAAACATACAGAGCAGTCGGAGCCAGACTACTCAGCGAATGTAATGTTGAATGTTCTTTTGTTCCAGTCCGCATCACCGTCTCTGTGATACATGCCTGGTCCTGGCATCAGCGCTTTCTCTTTGAGACTCCTGGGTTCTTCTCCTATGACAAATGATACTTTGATGTTGTCAGTGCAAACTTACTGTGATATGTGGGTGAAGCAAAGTTGTTCTTGTTGTTGGAGCCCTCGACAAACGACTTGAACTCGTAGTACCCAGGCCCAAGGAACTCCTCATGCTCTTTAAGTTTCGGTGGCTTGAATCTCTTCGACTTCGAGTTGAATGGTGCCACAATCTTCATTTTGGATTTCAGGCTTGCAAGAAGAGGGTTGCCCATTCCTCCTTCGACTTTCCTTCTGATGTTCTCAGCCATGGAGTACTTCTCCATGTCAAGGTGCTACTGGTTACTCAAAGCCTACCTCGATATATTTCTGCTGGACCATCTGGTTGTTCATGGCTGAGAATGTTGGCTGAGAACTCGACCCATGCATGGCTGAGGCACTTGACTGCAACTGAGGCCCAGGTTCTTCATACTTCTTGACTTTGTTGGGCTCTCTCACAGTCTTCGACAGAAACATTGAGCTAGCTCTTTTGATGTTGGAGTCTTTGGAGCTGAGCATCTTTACTGATTCTTCAGGCTTATATGAGCCTGGACCTGGAACTTGTTGACCAGCAGTTTTCTCTTTGGGCTTGTCAAGGCCTGAAGTAGTCCCGAAGACTCCTTTTCTGCCCCATGGCTTCTTGGCGATTTCATCTAACTATGAGCTGTAATGTACCTTTAGCAAGATTGTATTGGCCTGGCCCAGGCACATCGCTGGTGTACATGTCTTTGAAGCGCGCTCGCGTTGACACTGGAGCTTTGTGGTTTGCATTTCTGTCTTTGCGTGCTTTGGCAAAGTTGAAATCTTTGTGGGCGTTGTACTGGCCTGGCCCAATGGTATGGTCCTACTGATGAGATAAAGGTTACTTTATTTAGGAACAAATCTTTCGACTGTTGAACCGAAGTATTGATTCCTTCCTGTATAGGGTTGAATTGTGAAATCAGAAGTAGTTCCTCCATTATGATAATGACCAGGCCCTGGAATATCATCATCGTCATCAGAATCCATATCTTCTAAAGCATTAGGATTCCTTGGAGCACTCAAAGCAGGCCTTTTTCTGTGAATTTTCCTCTTCTTTTTCTTCATATCTGGCATCCTTGGGACCTTAGATCCAAATACACTACTATTCTTTAGCTTATAAATTGGAAAAATATTGTAATCACTTGGAGTGATAAAGTCACCATTCGTTCTGTTTTTGTTGTTATGTAGTTCTCTTTTGCTGGTGTATTTATCCCATTTAATTCCTTTAACTTTCTTTTTCGAGAAATTATTAGGAATTTCATATTGACCTGGCCCAATTGTATCGTCTTTCTCTCCTTTATAGACTTTTCCAGGATTTGGCTGTTGGATCAAGAATCCTCTGTCAGCTTCTTCATAGCCAAATATGCTATCGTGGGAGGGGATACTTGGGTTCGATCTCATGTGAAGAAGATTAAAGTTTTGTTTCTTGTCAACTCTAGGTGGAGATTTCTTTAATGTTGACAATTCGAAATCATAAGATCCCGGTCCAGGTACATTATTTTTCTATATTTAAACCCAAAAAATTACTGAAGAACTATTAACCATCTTCTTTGATTTTGAATTAAAGCCTTGCGTTGGTGATTTAAAGACATCTAATTTCTGACTCTAAAGATATTAAGATACAGAATTACATCAGGAGGGGCATCAAATCCACTCTTATTAGAATATGCTCCAGGTCCAGGAGTAATGTTATTCTTTTGCTCAAATTTCCTCTGTGCATTGACTAAAAAGACAATTAAAACTACTCAAAACCTTAAAATCCCAACGAAACCCCCTTACACATAAAAGGTGCATTGCTAGCATCTGTAGATGCTTCCAGGAGTCCTAGATAAGTGCCTGGTCCGACATTGGGGTTGGAGCTTCTATTTATGTCATCTCTTCCCCTCTTAAACACAAAAGCCATTGTTTTATTTCTAAATTTATAATATTTTATTTCAATTTGGCTCATATCTAAGGGGTTTTGGGGTTTTGGGGTTTTGGGGTTTTGGGG